CGCAGGTGATCACAGTATTTTTCCAATTTGTTAATTTGTGCATGAAGTCTACATTTACTTCTCGATATTTCAACATCAGCAACATGCATTCCAAATCTAGGACATCTTGCGTATCACTTATGAACGAATTCAACAAAATGGAAACTTTTTTGTGTGACTCTCACTGCAGACAGAAATTGAGTAAAGTATTACTTTTGACCGTAATACAGAGTTTACGTTTATCATACATGTCCTTAAACACATTCGTCGTGTTGAGGCTATTTCAACCTAATATGTGTAAGAGGGATATAACTTCAGGTTTTAATATGTACATAATATTTGCAATTATCGTTTAAAGAGAGATAACTCTCGCTGTAATACGGTATCTTAATCGTGCCATTTCACTTATCAACTTCGTTTTTTGTAAATGCTTATCTAATACACCTGTTTCAATCTTAACACTATTGCTATCTAAAAAAGGACTTAGGGATATAACACTGCTATTAAATACTAACGATTGACACTTACTTTTGAAGTGCTTGTTTTTTGTTCATAAATGTCAAGAATTCGGATACCATATGGTCCTTACAAAGCCTACACAACATACTTCCATGGACTTTCAACAGATAAAACTCTTCAAGAGATCACCAGGCATGTATTGACACAATAATAATAATTTCTATTAACTGCCTAAGAAGTGATGCATTGTATGTGCCATCAATTGTTTGTCCCTTTTTAGATAATCAACCATCAGCATACCAACAACAACCATCCCAGAAAACCGAAGCCATAACGTTTCCAGCTTGTAGAATAGTCTTTGTCTTCTTTGGCAGGGATGAACCAGTGGTTTTTTGGCCTCTGTGATGAAATGATGGACCCATGTTTCATCCAGAGACCTCTGCAGAAAGTTAGCAGGATCTGCCTCTATAAAGGTTAGGATTAACACGCGACAAAGTCCACCTGGTGTGCTTTTGATCAACCGTTAAAAATCCCGTTACCCAATGGGCTGAGAACTTTCTCATTGCAAGGTATTGCGTAAGAATGGAATGTACTCTTTCATGTGAAATCTAGACTTTACTGGTTATATATCTCTCTGTTACTCACCTACCAGCCATAACAATATCACGACTTTTATTTACCATTTCTGTGGTTGTAACAGTGAGAGGCCGCCATCCAGGACAGACGTCATCCTCAGGGCTTTGCCTGTCACGTTTGTATTCAGACACCTACATTTTCACTGTAGGGGCATCATTCCCTACTGTTGCTACCATATCAGTATGGATATCTTTATGTGCTAGACCTTTCTTATGCAAATATTGTATCAGTGCTCTTTCATAGATTTTGACCATTTTGCAAAAGAATTCAGCTTTGTTTAATTTAGAGTGTTACCTCTTGGACATGAACTGACCAAATGACACCAGTCTTTGAGTACACAGCTTGAAATAGTCAGGAAATAGTAGAACTGAAAAAGGACCTCCCTTCTTAACTTCTTCAATACACGACTCACAACTTCAATTAGCCCCCGTAACCTTTCGACTTCAAAAATGGCCGTAAAGTGGCCTGAGTGTTTACTCACATAAACATTTTATTCTAAAAGATAAATGGAAGTATATGACTTTTTGATATTTTCATTTTACTCCAAAATAAAATGTTGACACGTGATTGTTTTAGTAATGTGATTTGTCGTTTAACGTTCTATCAAGATATATGAGCTTTTAAAGATTACCTCATTTTGTATCTGAGTTGATTGCATGTGTGAAGTCTTTCAGTCTGAGTCTGCGATATGTTCATGTTAGCCTCCTTGTGATATAGTTATAGTGCTATATAACTGAAATATGCTGTTGAAGCGGTAAGCAGAGACCAGTAACTAATACTTTTGTAGACTCTCTACCAGGGAGCAAACTCAAAACTTCGCAAAGGGGCAAATGCTCAACTTAAGTCAAAGTACACATATAACACACTAACTTCGCATACATAAGGCAGCAGTCAGTGATTGACCAGCAACACTGGATTTGCAGAGAAGACCATTTATTTTAATTTTACCCTTAACACAAAGAATGTTAAGCAATTGTTGTGAATGTTAAGTAACTGTGGTAAAAGAGAAATAATACACGAATTAAGTATGATTGAATTAGGGTAAAGACTTCTATTCATGTGTTTTCATCACCATCGTTGTTTTTAGTGTTCTTACATCATAGTCGGTATAGATGGGAATGCTTTTAGGAAGACAGCTGATATTGCTGAGGTCTCTAATTGAAAGTCTATAAAATACACCATTAACTTCTTTCATCTTAAAACATGTCCTCAACAAAACCTTCGATCAGCTGTCAATTTGTTTCAGCATTGTTTAGGAATTCCGTTTGAAGATCATCAATTTAATGTTTACTTGTTCAATATTATCAGCCATTGGTAGCAGGAAATGTTTAAATGACCGTTTTCTGAAAATTAAGGGACACATTCCAGCTAATTACACACGGTGAGTTTAACCGTGCAAAACAGACATATGAAAGTATATATTTTCATAAACTACGCGCCACATGCAATTTTGATATACAATAGAGCATTGTCTAAACACATGTTTACTCTGTATTAAACTCTGTCAAAAAACCATGGTTACCACATTAAAAAACAAAATATTGTGATTTCTGACTGAAAATAAGACAGAAATTTCAACTATGACACATATAAAAAAAAAATATCACTACTGTAACGTATGCTGCGCGGGATCGTTGCACCACACGAGAAGACAGTCTACAATATTTACAAAATTTATCTACATTGTTTTTTTCACAATATTTACAAAGTCTTTACCCTGCATTTACACACAGATACCTCACACTTCCGCTCATTCCACCTCACACACACAGCTATCCCTTACGCACATGTAGATATGAAATATGAATATGTATGACCGCACTATCACTCTAAAATGTCACTGTTAGGTCACCATAGCTCTTCACACAATGTCGTAGTCAACTGACTTTCCAGTATGGTTCCTCGGCTTCATGCTTGTCGACGAAATAACTGGTCATTTGTTACGTCGTAAGTCACTCAACATGGAAGTGCGACACCCAGGATGTAACGAACTATGACCTCCGCAACGATAACTGTCCCACACATAGCGTTTCTTTAACGTGCAACAAAAGAAACAACACTGTAGAACGGAAACTATACGTCAGCTGTGATGTTTCCAAGACGTAGCGTAAATACTGTGACGTCATCACTACACTGTAAGCTATAAAACAGCGTCAACAATGGCAAACATCACCCTAGGTACATGGTATCAAACAGCCATTCATAGCTGATCACACAGTCTATATCAGATCATCATTCAGCATCCGTGATGTACAGATAAAACAGACAGGTACATGAAACGTATCAGGGTACCGTATCCTTGGCTCCGGGCCTCCATACAAAAGCGCAGGTGGTTGTCAACAATATGACGATCAACCATTACGTAGTTGGAACAACAAGCTACAACAATATAATATTTAAAGCTAACTTTACACCTAATTCATAAAGTAATTATTTTGCCATTGTTAGTTATTAAGAATCACACACTAGATACTTCCGAAACCAAACAAGTACTCGTAAACATACACGCGTTTATCACACAATGGACCACACGAGCGTCATTGCTTCTGGGCCATACACAGCAATACAGGCAACATTTGACGACTCATAAACACCTTAAATATCACTCATCTGGACAGAAATGGCTACAAGGAAACTAATCTTAAATTAAATATTAAATTATAACCCTAATCTGCATTTTAGTGAGCCAAAACGCTAAACTCGTTGAGCGTGCTTTTAACCTTTCTTGCACACATGCACGCCCGCCAAAGACGCGCTAATATAAATTTTCTAGAAATTACAACAAAATATAGATAAAAACGAATAAAATCAAAAATATTGGTGTATAGAGAAATGGCATGTGACAACTACATACATGAGAGCAAAATTATTAGGTTACTCGGAAATTTTTCACAACAATACCCCGTGGCTGCTGGTAATGGTAGCTTTTTCTGTGTAGGTGCTCTTTCGTATAATGGCCAAAATTGTAATCGCAAACCAGGTACATTTTTTTCTTTTTTTAAATGTAAAGCCCCAATATCCAACGTCATCATGAATATACCAAATTAAGCCTTTATTCATTTTTCTACATGTATTTACATAGAGGTTCTGTACTGTACTGTATTACCCATGGTCACACGAGGAAACTGTATACTGCTACCATAACAGTGGATAGTTTTTCGCAGAAACCACCAATTGTCTGAGACAGCTATGGTTATTTATCTTTTCGAAATATCTTTTGTAAAATCCGTTAATATCTACTAGAATTTCTCGTATTTCCTTGCCAGTGAAGTAACGCGTGCTATCTCTAATGTTTGATTTTGCGAACAGAACATCCTAATTGGTTTGCTAATGAATTGCTAGCTGCGAGATGCAAACATCATCTTGACCACAAGCCCAAGTATTCCGGTTGTGATTAACAGCAGAAACAGTTACGTGTAAGAGATGTGTTACGTTACGGAATTAACGTACAGCAAATAAAACCCGACAGCTAGGTTAAAATTCAACAATTTCATAACAACAAATAAATTATATGCAGTAAAATTACAAAAACGGTTGTGGTTACTTATATAATTTTCGTTACATATTTGAAAACTTATAAGGTTCGCGCGTTCATTCTAGCAAACGATGCACTATTTGAACAGCAAAATATACATGTATATATTGAATTTATTATACAATTGCTACATTTCAGTGCATGTCTAAAATACCAGGTTGAAGTTGATAAACACTACTGAAATTAATGATACTGACTATAATAGGCATTATATATATTATATAGCGGTAACCTTATTTGAAACGGACTATAATAAAAAAAAATCCATTAAACAGCACAAATGAATATCAGTTCACCTCTTGGGCAAAAGTAAGTACAGTTCTATAACTATCATACAGAGCGTTTATCAGCTGGTCCGAACTTTATGTTAGCTTTATCCGTTCACAGGAGAATGGCTGCAATTGGATCAATCAAAGTAAGTATTTGTGCTACATTTCATGTAAAACCGATCATAGTAGAAAGAAAATGTTTCGCAACTAATTACAACTGCTTTTAAGTTTGTGAGAGAAAAACATGCATAATGTAACTCTCGTCCTAGACTGGGTTACCTTCATAGATTTTGCAGAAAGCTTTCCAGTTTTATTTTCACAGGCTTTGCTTATACATTTTTCAGGAAGGCCGATTTTATTCCAGACCTTTTGTCAAAAAATTTACAGACAAAAGACCAATATTATTTCAGATTCCTCTCCTCTCAGATTGAATCTGCGTGCATGGCTCATATTTTTCTTCCGATTTGTTAACATGAATTACAAATATTGTGTATTTCAAAACATTTCTATATGTAGCCTACGATATTTAAAATGAGACCCCATAGGGCCTGTATCTCTCACATGACTTTGTTTTGGCTGAAATCCAAAGTAACGGAAAATGAAACCAATCTTAGGTTATATTTCTTTCTTTCTTGGGTTCCACCCTTTTGTCCGAGAGGGACAGCAAAGCCATTTATTCAAAAGTTAACTAGGCAATGCTGCACATCAAATTTAACCAAAATCCAATCATTGCTTCAGGTTTATACGAAATTGATTTCCACGTGCCGAATTATTCTTTGGACTAAATTTGAGCAAAATCCAATAATTTCTGCAGAAGGAGGAAGAGGCTAGATCTATTTCCAATATTGGCCGAAACCCACCATTTAAACAAAACTTTCCCTTCGCCAGAAGTACCTTTGACCAAATTTTGATAAAAATTATCTGTCACGTTGATGTCTTGTAGCATTTTGTTGGAAAATTGGTGACGGACGGCAGACGCCGCGGTATGGCAGAAGACATGTTGTGATTTTTAGGCAGGGTCTCATATAAATGGAGATTAAGCATGTGTAGCATTTAATTATTATTCATGGTGATCTATAGAAGTGTGTTTCATTTGTAATGGAATAGGCCAGCTTTTTACATTCTTCAAAAAATAAATAACGATGCTTATGAATTAATATTTCAGCACTTGGCTCGTATGATCGTACTTCTTTCTGTTGGCGGTACAATTGTGTTATTGGGATATTATTCTGGATTCCAACGGACCCTCAAAGCAGTGCCTAAGCACTCCGATTTAACACTAGATTACGAAAAATATATATTTGAAACATTTCCTCAAGAAAGCGTAGAAAATGTCGCAAATTTTAGCCGACATAGAGCAAAATACATTGTATACGAGTGTTCCAAGGCCAGGGGAATGCATTGCAGTGGCTGGTCTGATAGAATAGCAGGGATAATGACTACTTATATCATATCTATACTTACAAAACGGCATTTTCTCATTCACTTCGACACGCCGTGTTTTCTAACTGATTATATCATGCCAGCACACTTTGACTGGAGGTACAATTCTTCTATACTACAACATAGAACTAGTTCTTTCCACTACTACAAGAATTTGAACCATAAAAAGATAGCTAAATATATGTTCCAAGGAGACGATTTCGACACGTATTTCAAACACGATGTGATATTTATCTTAATGAACTGGGATTTTATAGCGGACTTCAGAAAAAGACCAAACATAGGACATGATATTCCATGGATTACACAGTATCACCAAACTGATATTTACAAACATCTGTATAATTATCTCTTTAAACTTGCACCCGTGCCTGATCGTGCATTAAACCATTTTATCCGAACACAACGAAAGCGAAAGAAGATAGCATGTGCACATATCCGTCATGGGCGAAATCCTAACATGCCGAATGACTCAATACGAAGTCAGCTGCCACTGCAGGTTTTGTGGAATTTATTTGACACTTTGGACAAAAATGAGTATGACTTATTTGTAGCATCTGATACAAACAATGTGAAGATATTTGCTAAAGAGCGATACCCTGAAAACATGATAGACACACCTGGAGAAATAACGCATATCGACCAGTCAGGTATAAATGACCAACGTGAAGGGTTTTTGAAGCAAATATTGGATTTCCATATTTTGTCAAGATGTGATGTTCTCATAATTTCCGGAAATGGTGGATTTGGAAAGTTAGCCGCATTCGTTCGGAACATAGATTATGGACTTTACTGTTGGAAAGGAGAAAGCATGATACCTTGTTCTAGATATACGGTGACCGATATATTTCCGTCTGGGAAATTCGGTAAAAAGCCAAAGACCTTGAGGCAGTAGTTCGGCACGGCACTCGTTTTTCAGATTCTGATGTTAAAAAATAACAGGAAAAAAAAACAAAAAAACAAAAACAAAAAAAGAAAAGGTATTGCTTTTACGTTTCTTTATGAGTTGATCAATTGATGAAACCTTGTTCAATATTTTTATTGTTCAAGTCTTTGTCGCACGTGTAGGCCTCATAGAGTAAATTACTTTTTTATTTTTTGGATCTTGAAAGTATTTTGGTAGAGTTGTAATGACAGAAAAAAAAAGAAGACGTCCAGGTTCAGAGTTAAGTTGGTTGGTTAAGAAGATATTGGAACAATTTTAATTATTTTTTTTTTCAATTTGACTCAACATCTGTTTACCTTTGCCAATGAATTGATTAGCTCTGGTGTATACTGCAGAAGTATGTTAAATACACCCTACATTTCACAGCCATGTAATACATGTAATACAAAGCCAAGGGGGCTAGACCTTTCTTATACAAATATTGTGTCAGTGCTCTTTCAGCGCTTTTGACCATTTTGGAAACGAATTCTACCTTGTTTACTTTAGAGTGATACCTCTTCGACTTGAACTGACCACATGTCTCCAGAATTTGGGAAGACGACCTTAAAAAGTCAGAAAATAGCAGACCTGAAAAAGGACCTCCCTGTGTAAGACGACTCACAATTTCAATCAGCTCCTCCTAAATTTTCGACTTCAAAAATGGTCACAACTTCAATCAGCTCCCCCTAACCTTTCGACTTCAATAATGGCCGTAAAGTGGCCTAAGTGGTTACTCCTATAGACATTTAATTCTAAAAGATAAATGGAAGTATATGACTTTTTGATGTTTTCATTTTACACCAAAATAAAATGTTGACACGTGATTGTTTTAGTAATGTGATTTGTCGTTTAACGTTCTATCAAGATATATGAGCTTTTAAAGATTACCTCATTTTGTATCTGAGTTGATTGCATGTGTGAAGTCTTTCAGTCTGAGTCTGCGATATGTTCATGTTAGCCTCCTTGTGATATAGTTATAGTGCTATATAACTGAAATATGCTGCTGAAGGCCTCCAGCAAGATACACTACCTGGTGAAATTAAAATGACCACTGGCAAACCAGTGTGCGGTAAGCAGAGACCAGTAACTAATACTTTTGTAGACTCTCTACCAGGGAGCAAACTCAAAACTTCGCAAAGGGGCGAAAACTCTACTTAAATCTAACACTGGATTTGCAGAGAAGATCATTTATTTTAATTTTACCCTTAACACAAAGAATGCTAAGCAATTGTTGTGAATATTAAGTAACTGTTCTCGTGGTAAAAGAGAAATAATACACGGATTAAGTATGATTGAATTAGGGTAAAGACTTCTATTCATGTGTTTTCATCACCATCGTTGTTTTTAGTGTTTTTAGATCATAGTCGGTATAGATGGGAATGCTTTTAGGAAGACAGCTTATATAGCTGAGGTCTCTAATTGAAAGTCTATAAAATACACCATTAGCTTCTTTCATCTTAATACATTCCAATACCTTCAGGCAATTCAGTTAGATAAAATGTTGTTGATCTCTTCTACGTTTTGAGCTATGTCTTTATCAATGTCAGTCAATATTTTTCAGTCGGTTAGCTTCAAGGCTTTTAAATGTATATCAATGGTATGATGAAGTCCTCAACAAAACTTCGATCAGCTGTCTATTTCTTCCAGCATTGTTTAGGAACGTTTTGATTGTTCATTTTTATCATCCATAACAGTAACCACCAATCGTCTAAGATAGCCATGGATATTTAGGTTTCTCGTATTTCCTTGCCAGTGAAGTAACGCGTGATATCTCTAGTGTTTGATTTGTCGAAGATCCTAATTGGTTTGCTAATGAATTGCTAGCCGCAAAATGCAAACATCATCTTGACCACAAGCCCAAGTAGTATTCCGGTTGTGATTAACAGCAGAAACAGTTACATGTTAGATATGTCACAGATACGATGTAAGATATTGCAGCTACGAAGGAGATATGGAGTAGATATAATATCTGGTGCAGAAATCTCAAGAGCAATATTAGAGTCTACGATCAGGGGAAACCAGAAGCGATGAAGAACTTGGAAAATCAGTTTCAATGAGATATAAAAAAATTATCAGAAAAAACTAAGAGAAAATAATAGTATAATGTTACATTTTAGCATAAATGATTGATATATTAGAAATAAAACTGAAACATTTTATATCCAACAACTTGTTATTTTTTAATAATGTTAAGAAACAATTCGTAAACAAAAATCAAGAAAAAAACAAACATGGCAACATAACCATAATCCAAACTCAAGGTCAATTGAACTAGGGCAAAGCATGAAGAAAAGAACGATGTACGATGAAAAATTGAACATGTTTCAATGAGATTACTATGGTGACCATAAAACTTTCCATAATTTTCATAAACCTGCAATATTTGAACCTTCGTGTTACGAGTCAGTCAACGACATCCTGCACGACAGTCATGATAATGATAACAGGCCCTTGAATATGGAATCAATTGTGACAGGTAAATACTATAGGTTGGTGATGCAGGGATATCGCTATCCAGAAATAAAATATGAATGAACGTGTACAAGGAAAAGTAGGGGTTACTGAATGATTGTGTCATGATCAGAAAGATTTCCACATCAATCTTTATTGATTTTGCTTAAGAATTCTCGAAGAATTTACAACAAACCAACAAAAACGGTTGTGGTTACTTATATAATTTTCGTTACATATTTGAAAACTTATAAGGTCTGCACGTTCATTCTAGCAAACGATGCATAATTTGAACAGCAAAATATACATGTATCTATTGAATTTATTACGTGATTGCTACATATCAATGTGTGTTGAAAACACCAGGTTGATGTTAATAAAAACTACTGAAATTATAATATTGACTATCATAGACAGTAGATATATTATATAGCGGTAACCTTATTTGAAACAGACTGTAATAATACAAAAAATCATCATCCATTAAAAAGCACAAATGAATATCAATCAGTTCACCTCTTGGGCAAAGGTGAGCAGTACAATCACATAACTATAGTGTTTAACAGTTGGTTCCATCATGTAAGCTTTATCCGTTTACAGGAAGATGGCTTCAATTGGATCAATCAACGTAAGTATTTGTTCTAAAGTTACATCACATCGATCGTAATTATATCACAGGAAACGTATAATCAAAAACGCTAAACCTTATGTAACAGGGGTAAAAGTTGATAAAATATGGACAGTATGTCTAGGAATCTCTTCTGTTAGTGTTTTTTACATACGTATACATTGCGTTATTTTCTTTTTGGATCGCTGTGTGTTTCACCGGTTGATGGCCCTAATGACATTTTATGTGTTGACGAACCATTCAGATGATAATGATAATAATTTTCTCCCATTTTTCACAGATTTATTCCAGTATTTAACAACAAGCATTCGCTATGACGCTACTTAAAATGGAGAAGTCTTATCATTCTCTGGAACGTAACCATGTCGCAAATTAATAACATCAACTCTTTCAATGCATATTTTATTTATCATGGATCATAGTAGAAAGAGAATGTTTCGCAACTAATTACAACTGCTTTTAGGTTTGTGAGAGAAAAAACATGCATAATGTAACTCTCGTCATAGACTGGGTTACCTTCACCCTCGTATAAACTTTTGTTGGGCCACAGACCAGATTAAAGTAAGATATCATTAATCTTTCATTTCAGATTCTTTTTCATAGATTTTGCAGAAAGCTTTCCAGTTTTATTTTCACAGGCTTTGCTTATACAATTTTCAGGAAGGCCGATTTTATTCCAAATTCTTTGTCAAAAAATTTACAGACAAAAGACCAATATTATTTCAGATTCCTGTCTTTCGAATCTGCGTGCATGTCTCATATTTTTCTTCCCATTTGTTACCATGAATTACAAATATTGTGTATTTCAAAACATTTCTATATGTAGGCTACGATATTTAACATGAGGCCCAGAGGACCTGTATCTCTCACATGGCTTTGTTTGGCTGAAATCCAATGTAACGGAAAATGAACCCATTCTTAGGTTATCTTTCTTTCTTTCTTGGGTTCCACCCTCTGCCAGAGAGGGACAGCAAAACCATTTATGAAAAATCCTCCTTTACCCAAGAATGCTTTGATAAAATACGGAACGGATCCATGTCCAGAGAACCACCATTTAAACGCTTATCACTTGTAGCATGCTTATGAATTAATATTTCAGCACTTGGCTCGTATGACCGTCCTATTCCTTCTTGCCGTTACAATACCATTATTGGGATATTGTTCTGGATTCCAACGGACTCTCAAAGAAGTGCCTAAGCACTCCGATTTAACACTAGATTACGAAAAATATATATTTGAAATATTTTCTCAAGAAAGCGTAGAGAATGCCACAAATTTTAGTCGACATAGAACAAAATACATTGTATACGAGTGTTCGAAGGCCAGGGGAATGCATTGCAGTGGCTGGTCTGATAGAATAGCAGGGATAATGACTACTTATATCATATCTATACTTACAAAACGGCATTTTCTCATTCACTTCGACACGCCGTGTTTTCTAACTGATTATATCATACCAGCACACTTTGACTGGCGGTATAATTCTTCTATACTACAACATAGAACTAGTTCTTTCCACTACTACAAGAATTTGAACCATAAAAAGATAGCTAAATATATGTTCCAAGGTGACGATTTCGACACGTATTTCAAACACGATGTGATATTTATCTTAATGAACTGGGACTTTATAGCGGACTTCAGAAAAAGACCAAACATAGGACACGATATTCCATGAATTACACACAGTATCACCAAACTGATATTTACAAACATCTGTATAATTATTTCTTTAAACTTGCACCCGTGCCTGATCGTGCATTTAACAATTTTATCCGAACACAACGAAAGCGAAAGAAGATAGCATGTGCACATATCCGTCATGGGCGAAATCCTAACATGCCCAATGACTCAATACGAAGTCAGCTGCCGCTGGATGCTCTGTGGAAAT